ATCCATCCATCCATCCATCCATCCATCCATCCATCCATCCATCCATCCATCCCACGTCTCTTCAGTCAGTATATTAATTATCAATAGGCTTCTGGTTAATGCCTCCTCTGTTAAAACTTCTGGAGAACAACAGTGGGAGAGTGATATTGATTTGATGTCCTATTTATGAACATCTGCATACAGATATATTTTGATTTAATATTGTATATACTTAAAACAGAAATAATGATGTGAATTTGGAAACAGTTGCTCTTTCAAAATCTTTTTTGTCACCTTCCCTTCCCTTCCCTTCCCTTCCCTTCCCTTCCCTTCCCTTCCCTTCCCTTCCCTTTTTTTTTTGTCTAAGTGGGACTTGATTAAATAAAGGATATGTCCTGCAGGTAAATTAATGGAAATGAATTTGGCCCCCAATTCATATGATTTTTTTTCCTTTTTACATTCTTGTAAGCTACAAATATGCATACATTTCTCATGAACATTCACTGGTTAACTTGATATCCCTCTTTTCTTTCAGAAAGTTAAGGCAGTATATTTACTGCTCTGTCCTCCTAATTTTCCCCATAACAGCAACTCTGAGAGGCAGGTTGGGCTTAGAGAGAGTCACTGGCCCAAAGCTACCCAGCCATGGGTTTCCATGGCTGACACTGGATTAGAACTTGGGTCTCCACTGGTGCCAGTCCAACACCTTCAACATTACACTCCGCTGGCTGTCAGTGATAATATTTTAATCAATATACAATGCTTTTAGAAAAAAAACACAGTTATTAAAAATAAACATGGAAAGTAAATAAACAGTGTTGTAAACTTTTAGGAGTCAAGTTCTATAGCACAAATCCATATCTGAAGACAGTATGCATGAGAGGATATATAAATAATCATGCTAGGATATGCAGGAAGTTAGCAAAGTGCAATTATGCTTTCATATTAAATTATATCTAAGAACAGGTCTGAGTGGAATGCTATACATGGTTAAAAAACTATTAGAGCATATTCATAAAGAAATATCGAATTTTCTAATTTAGATGTAATTTCTCAAGATTTTTAAAATAAAAAGTGAACATTTGAAAAAATAAAGTCAAAATTGAGTGTTTGCAATTTATAATCTATGGTTATAAATTAGGAATGGGTGATTGAGACTATCAATGGTCTTACTCATGTCCACTTATAAATAAGCTTGCAGAATTCAGTGAATTTTATTTCAAGGAAAAAAAACATAAGCAGTAAAGTTTAATTAACTAGGAACCTCATTATTTGATTAACTGTGGAACCTATGCCCTTCTGCATGTTGCTGAACTTCCACAAGTCATTGGATCCAATGATACTACTTTGGAGAGCAACAGGTTTTCATCCCATGTTAGCTAAAATATAATGCTAATATAAACTTCAAAGTATGCATATATAGTATTCTGAAATCTTTTTTTTTCGCCTATGCAATTTAATCCCTCTTACAGCAAGTTAGTTTCCTCTCTGTCATATTTTGTGGAGTTCCATAAGAAGATTTTTTTTCTCCTGACAGCGTATTTTAAGAGTAAATGGAAGGGCTAAATAGAAGATAGCTGCCACCTCAGGCTGCTTAACATTTACACAACAATATCAAGTATTTCTCTATCTTGGCAGTTGGTAGGAATTCAACTTTGATGAAAGAGAGAAATAAATTGGAAAGGACAGGAGACTGCATATTTATTATCAATTTAATAGCATTCATACATTTAAAAAGATAGAAACTAAGTATTCAGTGAAGTTAACACCAAGATTAAAGTTGGCTCACAACTGCTGTTTCTAACCTTTTCAACAGGGCAAAAAGAGATCTTTGTTCTTTAATATAATTAAAGAGCAGAATCTTCTATATTTCAACAATGGGCTAATTAGCTGTATAGTCAAACTGGAGAGGCCTATCTCATGGATCTATGGAGATCCCCCCCCCCGCAAAAAAATAACATCCAGGGGTTATTTTATGAACTGAACATGCATCTTCAGCTGAAAGTGGAAGAGTCAGTCCATAGACGTTAAAGGTACCATGATCAAATTATTGTCTTGTTTGAAAAAAAGAAATCCTAACAATTCTTGCACATGAAAAAATGGAATCTCAAATAGTGTTTTTCTATACTAGGCATTCCTATACACTGCTTTTCTCCTATCAACTAAAAGCAGAATTAAAACTGTGGCTCCATAAAGTACTTAATGTTACACTCTGTTATGCAACAATGCTCTTTTGCTATGGCCAAGAAAGAGCTTATTCAGAAGTGATCCCATTCAACAAACATCTCCTACAATTTTATTTAAAAACTTCCTCTTTGTGGACATAATGTTGAATTTAATATGTTATTTCAAATGACATACAGTAGTCAAAAGAACTTTTCACTTATCAGATTTTCTTAGGAAAAAATTGAAGAAAGAAGTGATTAAAGCACTTCAGAATTTAAAATTGTACAGTGCATAGAACTAATACGGGAGCAATTCATCAGTAATACTGCAGCACGCTGCACAGGTTTAGAGATTACAGAGATGTTTATATTAAAAAGCAGAGTAATCCTGAAAAGATTCTATTGTTTTTGTTAGTCTAGAGTGGCAAACTTGTTATTAGTTGAACATGAAATAATTTTTAAGGATTTTAAATTTTTTTAAAAAGTATTACATTTAGAAAAAAATGTGAAATGATAACACAGAAAATACTGGCATGTTTTTTTAAAAAAAATAAAGTACAATGAAAACGTGGTCAGCAAGCTTTACACACAACATGACCACATCCTTGTATGTTTAACATCTTTTTATTTTAAATTGAAAACTGGGAAAGTAGGCATGAATTCATGTTTCAAGACATTATAAAGAAAAATCAATCTAAGAATCATTCCAAAGTTAATAAATAATAAGACAGGTTTGACTCTGATTTAACATCTGATGAATCCAAATAAAATAAATATATAAATATATTTCAAATCCAATATAACATAGATTGAACACAATAAAAAATATTATAGGGATATTTCTGCAGAACAAATAAGGTTCTTAATCCCAAATCATTGTTCCTATTAAAATATAAAGTGCTAAAATGTCATTTTGTCAATGCCTCAAAACCTCAAAATTGTACATCATAATCAGAATTGTATAAATATAACTAATATATAAATTATTGGGCCTCTTCCTAACCTTTATATAAAAGTAACAAAAATCAATGTATACATATGAGTTACAAAGCAATCTTATATATGTTTCGTTTGCATAAGTGTCCAATACCTTTCTTTCCAGAGATGTAAAGACCACATTTTAAACTGAGGTACAGTTCTTTTTATGCTATATTCTGATATCACTTACCAGCTTCAGAGACTGATGTTAAAACTGAACAGGTTAAATGCTTTCTTTATTAGGCTACAGTATGAACAAATTAATTACCAATAACCAATAATGCAAGAACACAGTCTAACTGAACTTGATGTTAGACACAAGGAACAAATAACACTCTTTATCTTACCTATTTTTTAATCGTTTTGATAATAGTTCTGAAATTCCTTTGCAGATATCTTTTTCCATTCTGAATTCTAGAAAGTAATTTTGGTGTTCAAAGTAACACAGTCAGACTGTATCATGGTCCTTTTTAGTATACTATCTTCTTACTGATATAAAGGGGAAAAAAGGGAAATTAAAATGTCTTTAAAAACTTGACAATAACCATTTATTTCTTGTGTTTGGAAATTATATTGAGCTCATTTCTTTAGAACTGGGTTTTAATTTCTGAAAGCTTAATCACCTGAACAAAGGTTCATCAAACTTTAATCACCAATAAAAATTGCAGCTTGAGTCACCTGGGGAACATTTATTATATTTTTATTTTAATGCCAAATAACCCATTGCTAATCTGCTAACCCTTTATATTAGCACATTCACTATTAACATATTCCTAAAAGTTATTACTTCCTCTGAAACTATACAAAGAGTTCACTGCTACAAACCCCCCAAAATAATCCTATTAAAAGTCAGAAACATCTGCTGTGACACTATTTTAACATTCTTTTTATAATCCATACAGTTATTTGGTTATCCAGCTGACTTCTAACAATGTACTAAATCTCAATTACATGAAATATTATGGGAGTGCTGATTAAAACAACAATATACTTATTCTAGCTACTTATGCTTTTTCCTTCCATTTGAAATTTGCATCACTAATCTGTTTTCCCCTATTCTATTTATACACTTCTTTGTTCTAGGCAGAACAAAGTATTGATTTGTTTAAACCAAAGCTGAACAATAAAAATGTCAAGGAAGGTTAAAATTATTGTCTAATGATGATATGAAAGAATATTTCTGACTAGAGCAATTTAGAAAAATATGTTGAGAAAGGCAAACGGCCAGGCGCCACTTTTAATTATTTTCCCTGGGAATTTGATCACACAACGTAAAATTATCTTACTGAATCCTACTTAAAGATACTTACATATTAATATTTTAAAAATAGAGAATAGGCTCTTTTAATATCCCTTAAAAATTCGAGTTTTTATTGCTAACAGAGTAAAGAATGTATAAAAAAGAATAATTTCCAGATATATATTTGGAATGAGAACTACCTTCCATCACATTGGCTACTACATATTCAGTTAAACTGTATCCTTATAGGAACATGCTCCATTAAATGTATAATTTAATTCTAATAATAATTCACCTTTATCAACAAGTCAAATAAAGACTTCATTTTCCATGTGCTTCAATAAATCTAAGCAGTAGGAAAATGTATAGGATTTAAATGTTTTCCTATTAGTATTTTCCATGTGCTGTTCCATAAGCCAGCTATTGTTTCCTTTGTCTTTTTTCTACAATTCCACATTCTTTATCTTTCTCTTTGTTATATATGGCATGGACATACACATCACTGTAAATATTCCCTGTCATATATTGGAATGGCAATATCACAGGTACTTTGGGGACAGCTGTATGAGCAATAAAGCTTACAAAGAAAAAGCACACATACGCACGCACACACACACACACACAACCTCAAAGAAAGAACCCAGTGGAGCAATTCTTTTCACCCGTAAAACATATACGGATTTCAGATCAGATAATGAAATGCCTGGATATTTCCTAAATGTTCTGGGGAATTTAGATTCAGGATTGTAAATCTGATATTGTTAGAAACTTCTATAATCATAGTCAAGTGCCTAAATATATATACCGGAGAACATTCCATAGCATAATACAAATAGACACTGACTATATTTTAATGTTTATCTTACGTTACTTTTTTTGCATGACACAAACTAAGAAAATGTGGAAACCCTCGAGAATATGCTTGTAATTGGAGGGGGGTAGAATAACCATGGCAACAATGACCACATTTGCAACTGTTTTAAAAAAATAATTTCACAACATAATTAACAATGGTAATTGTGCAAACAACAAACATCAAGCAAGCATCAAATACTAATGGAGATATACCAAATGACATCTTGAAAATGAAAACTAAAATCTGACTTTATATGGACAATGCAGTTCAGAAACAAAGCACATACCATTATCCATTCAGGTGCTCTACTTCTTATTCTGCCCACATAGTTCTGCAGCTCCATTAGTCCAAAAGTCGACTTTGCCCTGCTTCTGATCTTTATGGGTAACAACAGCATCACAGTGTTGGCAATTTTTTTCGATTAAACTTCTCAGACACGGTAGCAACTTTGTTAATTATGATATTAGGCAGCTGGCGGGCACGATCAATCATCCACTATAAGAAAGCCAGACAACGAGACATCTAATCATTGCAACCAGAGCAGATAAATTTTGTTCCTTTCTTATACGTGTCAGAGATTCTATCCCTCCTGACCCCTGAACACTGCCATCGACTGTCAAATTTAGATTCAGCAAGCTCCCAGCTTTCCTTTATCCCTGCCTTAGATCTGAAAGTCCTGGTTATCAGGAAGACAAGCGTCACCAGCTGTCTCAGAGCAGGAAGGCAATCAGGTGAATAGTACTTATTATCTTTCATTGCTTGCTAAGGAATGACAAGATTGATTTGGGACCAAGAGCACATCCGTATCTCAAATATAGGCTTCAAGTTCAAACTATGATGCATATGTAAACTTGTACTGAGGGATTTCAAGTCTAACCTTATTAATAAAACACACTTAAAACTTAGGGAATCAGACAGAACCTCTTGAACATCTAGACAATTCCCTTTTAAATAAGGACACAAGCTGTTCCCATTGCCAAAATGGGTGTTCCAACTTCTACCCAGAGGTTGCATTTCACAAATGGATAGACTTAATTGGACCCACAGAAGCAATAGGTTTCCATTAAAGTCTTCTCTGTAGGCACCTTCTGTCTTAACTAGACTGACGGTCTGTGGATTCTTACAAATGCAACAGGCAGTACAATTCTATCTGTTACACTCCTAAATGAATGTGATGCGTTAGGTAATGTTTTACTGTTGCTACTGAAACTGCAAAACATATTGCTTATTTCAAATAGGAAAGAAGATAGGTATTGTAAGGTTCTGATGAAAAAACTATCAATAAAAATCAAACATACATTCAGCAGAGTAATTTAAAAATGCAGTTAAAATATAAGGAACCAAACATAAAAAGACTACTCAAGATTACACTAAAACAATTAAATGCAAAGTGCCTTGAATGAGCAGGATGGTTCTAAAATTGCAGCACAAATTTTTCTTTTCACTAATTACTATTAGCAGTTGTTACAGGTGTTATGAATAAACTTATAATGTGAAGCTGCACTTTAATATGTCATTTTTGCAGCAATAATTCACATTTTGAATCAAAATATTCCTTCAGTACTGTATTCCTCTTAAATAACTGTAGGGTTATGAGGAAACCCACTTACTTAGTTAGGGTTGTCTTAATGGTATGAAATTTATTATACTATTCTTGAGGTTAACTAGAAGATGGGACATGAATAAAAGGAGGAAGGAAGACAGAAAGATAAAGGCGAATTCAAAGTTCTAATACTACACAGGAGACTAATGATGATATAGCATACAACTAGAAAACAGCTCGCTTCATCCCAAAAATCTAGCAATCATAAATGGAAAAGCAATCTAATTAATTATCTATTGTGAAATTACTAAATGTAGAAACATATACATAAAATTAAAGCAAAAAGTAGAATTTATCTAATTAAAAAAAAAAACATAAATAAATTCAGAGGAACAATAGGCCAGATAAATAACAGTATTAATTTGAATGGAGCTTACTCCCATTAAGCTGTGTGTTATGAATAAAATTGCATCCTAGCTATGCCATATAAAAATGTTTATTAATGTTAAGCTCCACTGAGTTTGCTGTCTGGTAAAGATGCTGTATTTTATTTTTAAGATTATACAAGACAGCACACTGCTTTCAAGAAAACATTGCTACATGTTTACGTGTAGTATTTTTTAAAAAATGTATTCACTCATTGATAATTGTCATTCAATTTTATTAACATATTCAACTTACATCACTAGTTCACACAGACAGCAGAACATTCTTTAAAAAAAAAATAATTGCCACATACATCCTGTATAGTATGAAGAGAAACTCACTGAAAATCTTCATTGCTGAAATATATACATAATCAAATACTTATGAGGAAAAAGAAATCCTATCTTCGAGGGAGGGAAGATGTTTTTAACAGGAGAAGTCTTGAAAAAACACACTACACATAGAGTTGTAAGGATGGTATTATATTTCCAGTGTTACGTCCCTATGTTACACAGGTAATGAAGCTAGTGCCTCAGAATTAGTATTCAGTCAATTAAACAATGGTATACTTATTATATAAAATGTAAATCATCTGTAATAATCTATTATATCCTTTCCCAATTTGTAGTCTTCCAGACATATTTCAGTATAACTCCCATAATACCCAGCCAGTTATTTTATTAACAGTAAAAACTTTACACGAAAAGTTCTTGAGATTTTTTGCACAAGTGTGAACCTTCATGCATGGGTGTCTATGGGAAGGCCTAGGGAGGGAAAATGATATCTGGATATAAGTATATAAGGGCAAGAGTTGTGTCATGGTGTGCGTGTTATCATTTTGACCAAATCTCAGTTTGCTGTGGATACCTGTACCTCCATGATACACCAGAGGTCTGTCAATATTGACTGCAACTCCTCCAGGCTTACAATATGAAATATTCCTAAGATTCTTACTTATCAGCAAACCTGATGTAATCAACCCCTCTGTCAAAAAACCAGGTTGTAGTGCACTCTATGAGAACACTGCTGCAACAAGAACTGTAGTAATCCCTATTGGTTACATGCTATTGGTAGTATGAGACTAGTAGCTTCCCTTTGACCTCATTGCTCTCTTCCTAATCCACTCTTTTTGTCTCAGAAGTTTGTTTTACAAGTCTACAAACTGGAAGTGCTGATGCAATTTGTGCATTGATTGCTTGATTTCTGTGAATTATGATTTCAGCAAAGCATCTGATCCCACAGTAGAACTATGCATCTCTATTAAATGTAATGCAAAAAGCATGATAATTAAGTGAAAATTGACCACTCGTCCATGATTCATGATAATCATTGTCAAACACTGAATGGAGTACCACAAGGCTCAGTCCTGAGTCCTATTCTTGGATGAAGATGGGAAGAGAATTACACACAATTAGATGGAATAGCTAATATCCTAGATGACAGAAGTGAATTGCAAAATTATACTGGAGAGTTAGAGGAATAGATTAAAAACAACAGAGTAACATTTGACAGAGAGCAAAGTATAGTTCTTCATTTAGGAAACAAAATGAAGCACACAGGTATAGGTTGGGGGATACTAGGCTGGGTAATAATACTTGTAAATAAGATCTTGGAGTAGCAGTTGATTACACACTGAGTATGATATGACTGGGAAAAAAATAAATTGCATCAATAAAAATATCATTTCCAAATAACTGAGGTAAGAGTTCTAACTCATAAGGAGTCCTGTGTCCAGTTCTGGATTAGAAACAAAGTGCTCTGAAGAGAGATAAAAGGAATTAGGAATGTTTAGCTTTGACAAGAAAAGCCTGGGAGGGTATATAATGATGACACTCTTCAAATATCTGAAAGGATGTCACACAGTTGAAATTCAAGACCTGTCGCTATTGTTCCAGAGTGCAATACACAATAATGGATTTAAGTTACAGGAAGGCAGTTCTATTTGAGTGTTAGAAAAATTCTCAAACAGTAAAACAGTTGAAAAATGGAACCAATTATCCTGAGAAGTGATCAGCAGAGGCTTCATAGCATCAATGGGGATGCTTTAGTTTGAACTCCTGCACTGAGGAAATTGGATTCAGTGACATAAAAAGCCCCTTCTCACTCTATGATTCTGTACTTCTTCTACTCTGTATTTAGTGCATGAATTATATATTTTTAAATAGAATAAATATAGTATAAAATACTATATGGTATTTTTAAATACAATATAAATTGTTTACTAGCAGGTGACTCAGGCAGAGTTCCCTAACCCTTTCAGAAGATCCTACAAGAGAAGAAAAGATGTTACAGAAGAACTGAGGGAGGGATTCCATTGGTCTGGAGTTCTCAGTTGCGTTCATTGCATGTAAACACTTGTTTCCCAAATGGGGCATTCTGAGGGTTTGGATGGGATAAGACATTTACTTAACATTATAGCCATGAAATTAATTTGGACATGTTAAGAATCTGTTCACCAGTTTAATGCATCCATAGCAACTGGAATGATCCCATATTCATTATTCACATTACTGAAATAATGTACTTAATTATATTGAATTTAGGCATTTAATCTGAAAATAGTCATTAATTTTTTTAAAAAAATGTCCCCAAAATCTAGGAATTTATATTTGGAATGTGAAAATTGATCCTTCAAAATATCTCACAACATTTGTACAAGGAGTATTAAATGTCAAATCACTATGTACTATAATGAATATTACTAAATCTTAATGCTAGTCTAAAAAAAAATATTCTAATGAGATAAATGCCAGTATAAGCTCACTAATCAGTATGTTATGGTATACAACTATCGTAGGATCTGAAATATTTTATTTATAAACATATTTGACATTTAAATCTCATATAGATACATGCACACACATAGATCCCCCCCCTCCAGTGAAGCATGAACTTGCAAATCTGGGTAGTTACCATGCAGTAACAATACTGTATTTCTATGGCATAAAATTACCAGTTCATTCAGATAATCTGCTTCAGTAAACATGTATGAAATATTTGTAGCTATGCAATTTGTTCCTGTCTGGGACAGCAACTTAAGATAATTTTGATTTTGTGGAGTTAAAATGGATATAACAGCTATATTCCTAAATCCATTCTTTTGGCATGTATGGAAAGGGGCTTCCACTTGTGTACCAATCCACCATAGGACTGCATTGAAAGAAAGTGTACTACAGTGGTAAAGGTGTTGGACTAGGACTGGAGATATCAGGTCCAAGTCCACTCTTAGCCATGGAAGGTGACTGGGTGACTTTGGACCAGTCACTGTCTCTCTGATCAAATTACCTGTTAGAGTTGTTGTGATGGTGAAAAACTGGAGGGAGGGAAGGTTGAACTCTTTCCTTAAGAAAATGCAGGATGAAAACCTAAGAAACAAATTAAAAACAGTTTTGAGGGAGACTTTAGATATGCTTAAAAGGATTGCCATAAGATTTAACAATCTTATTCATGTAAGTCTTACTTTCACATACATATTTATAAGATTGCAGCCAACTGAGTTCTGGAATAGATATCCACTGAGTCAGGAAGAAAAGTTCTAATGTTTATTGTATCTTGTTACTTACTCTACAAAACAGATCATTCTGCTGTAACTACATATATATTTTATTCAAAAGTAGAATAATAATGTGTCCTTGAGCTGAAGTTCTAGTGCAACTCCAAAAAGAGACATCTGGAAAATTTACTATAAAATTCTGCCCCTAGCCCCTCAAGAAATCTTCAAAGCTGGATTCTTTCTAACAGATTGTAAAACTGTATTACTGCCAAATCAAAAAAAGGAAAGAAAGAAATGTTGGATTCAGTAAAAATAAAGTGCTTTGAGAAACATGCCAATCTTCATATTTATTTGAAGCAAATTACTATCTCACGACTCTAGAAGGTACATGCAATAATACTATCAGTAACTGAAGTAGATTACAGAAGAAAAAGTCAGAATAACGTGAATAAAAACATTCAGATAATATATTCTCTATTACAAGCTTTATAATTTTAATAATCTGGATCCCCCCTACTCTGCTAGGCTACAATTCTAAATTATTATAAAGAACTTTCTTACATATGAAGCTAATTGGTTTGAACACCACAGCAGTTCCCAAAAGCAAATGAACGAACGTGTATGTTATACAGTATGTGCATACATATTAACAAAACAAAAAAAAGAGTATTCTTAATTATAGGCAAATGAAACAAGTACATATCTTGATATTGGTATATCAAATGTGTGCAATTAGTTGTATATTTTAATAAATATTTTCCATTCTCATGTAAAGATTTGGCTCATGTAAGATGTTTATGCTCAACAAACATACATTTTTTTAGTCATTTTGTGTATTTTTAAACTCATACATACCAAATGATTACTGTTGTAAGATAAAGCAGAACAAATAAAATTGATGAATTCATATGGAAAAATAAAGCTGGAGTGGGGAAGAAAAATGCATTAAGATGAAAGATGAAACAGATGCAATACACAGGAAAGATCAAAGAGCTCCATCAATTCATTCTGAGTGTCAAAATCCAGCTGAGCGTCAGAGCCCTGCACACATAATAAGGAAGGTTGACTAAAATATAAGGATTAAACAGATGAGCTGTCTCCTGTGGATGTACGGCAGAGATCCTGCTGAGCCACTTGTAAAGACAGTTTGGAATGGTACACCTGCTATTCTGCAGTCAAACCTACAGGAAATCCATCTGGAAAGAAAAATAGCTACTCATGTAGTAAAGACCTGCTTTCATGAAAAGTGTCCCAAGCATATATATTTTCTTTTGGAATGAAGTGGCTGTTTAATGATGTCATATTTTTGTTCCTTAAATCTGATTTCACAAATTGTTTAGTAAAAAATGAAAATGCAAAAAAATGAAAAGTATTATCACTGTGCATTAGGAATCATTCTCAGGTATTAAAATTCACTATCATAGTATAACCTGCCAATATTTCAGTAATAATATCATTGGGTAACTGTAAATTTGACCAATCTCAGTTTTGTAACAAAGTCCAAGTCAGTCTTTCAGAGCATTATGGCTCTGAACATTCATATTTACTTTCTAGTCTATATGATTGTAAAATGATTTTTCAAAACACTATAATCAGATTGTATTAGTAATGATGGAAAAAATGGAATTCATTTTCTATACATGCACACACACATATACACACAACTCTGCCAGCATCACCCTCTTGATAGATGTTTACAGGAAGAAGATCCCACTATGTTCAGTAGGAATTATACCCAAGCCCACTTTAAAATAATTAAAATTGTAAACTAATTAAAAACTGTGGATGGTTTGTCTGATTGGGTTAGATCCCAATGTATAAGACCAATGAAACTGATGAAACTTTAGTCATGTGTAACTAAGCTCTAATGATTTCAATGAGGCTTCTGTAAATCTCTGATCCAGCATAATCTTTATGGCATTAAAAATAAACTACTTGGTTAATCACATTAGTTAATAACATAGCTATATATTTATCCACTTATCAAACAGAAGGTTGATAAAAGACACCTAATATACAGCAATATTAAGATATGAATTAGATTGTATGTATTGTTCTATTGCCTAAGCTCATTTGGAACTACTTCCTGTGATATAAATTTAAATATAATGCTAAAAAATAAAGCTAAAAACTAATGATTAAGTAGATATAATAAAAGCTGAATTATATAAGCTTCCATCAAAACACTATTGTAGTTTTTATTTTTAAGGTCCCAAAATTTAACAGATCTTCAACATACAATTTTAAAACTAACATTGTGTCAAAAAGGAAAAAGAGAATTAACACTGGGTTTTCAATCTGTTAGCTAATACATTTAAATGTCATTTAAAAGAAATATTATCTACTATTGCAAATAGTGCAATACAAATTTTAAAAAATTATACCTTAGAAATGAAGGAAATTTAAGAGGTGGAGTCTTTGGGAACAGGTGGCAAATTAATAAATAAATCTGAACCTGATTCTTCCCCTGTATGACCAATTTTTTTTTTAAAGTGGATAAATATAACCAGTTTAAAAGTTGAGGGCTTTATTGGACTACAGACTTGATTAAGGATGGGAATCCTATCTCTGATGAATATATCTTGCAGAACTGGAGACAACTTTCAGCTTCTTTTCAGAGGAAACAACTACAGCCTCATTTGAGACTTTTTAAGCTCACAAGTCTTTCCAATTAAGAATATCGACTAAATTCTGTTACGTATATTAATGAAAGTCTTACAGGATTGTGTTACTAAATTGCAACAATATCCATAGTTACTTCTGAGCTTCTAAGAGATTGCTTTTACCTACTGAAATGTCTTTTTGAACAAAAATAATGAATATGGATGTTTAACATTTTGCATTTCTCCCAAGGATTATATCTGTACTTATGAATATTCCCAAATAAAGCCATTATTTCTTTTATCCTTAAATGCTTGTTTAAACAAGTAAATATATTTCTAAAGGAGGAAAAGGGAAAAGCATAACATTTCAGGTATCATTCTTTCTCTAATTATACTACCTGGCACTAAACTAGAAAGAGATCCCCACTAGTAGCCCCCCCAAATCACTGTTCAATGGGCTATCACAGAACTTGTTGTAACTACAAGACTTCTGTTCTAATTCATGATAAACTCAAATCAAAGATGAAACGTATAACTCAAAACAAAGTTTTACTGACCTGAAATGGAATGGATGGTTCAACCTTTATGTAGTCTATAAAGCTCTTGCTCTGATTTATCTATTCAGATAACATTAGAGCAGCCCTATTCAGATAGATAGACTTAAAACATATACATAAAAATAGAGGACACAATGCATGATAGATCTTGCCAAACACATAATAAATGATGTAGCAAAGGAATGTCACTTCTTCCTTTCTTTTTACAAATCGTAATTCACCTCTTTCTGAAGAATTAGGCTATTAGGTTGTCTTCGTGGTCAGTTTATACTCTGAGTCAAGCTTGTCCAGACAGTGTGTTACTTTTGCCAGCTTGAGGACCATGCCGTGCTTTGTATACTGGGGGGTTAGGATCCATCTAGAAGTGGGTGTCAATGATTTTATGGCTGCCTTAAATATTTGCAAAGGTTAAGGCAAAAAAATTTAAAATGACTAAAATTTGGCTGCCCAAACCCCTTTTGGGGCCACAAAAGGGATGCTGATGCACACATGCAGCAACTTTTTCTACTCCTCTTCTAAGTTTGAGGAGAAGGAATAGAAGAATGCCTGACCCATGACAGTGGCTAGGCCCTGACCATTTTCCCAATTATATAAGGGAAAAGAAGAAAAAAAAAACACCCATCCAAAATAATGTGATTTTGAACAACACAATCAGAATTCTCATAGCAACAAAAGGACTCCCTTTATTTTTGTTTATCCTGAAATCACACTCCAGAATCAGGAACAAATAGACTATTCCTGGTTTAATATGGGTGAATTGAGCTGTTTTCAGAGTATCTGAACAGCTGTGACATTGAACAGGTTCTGCATAACCTAATTGATGTATTCCTTTTGTAGCATATTGGTGTACTCGCATTCACATTAAAATGATTTTTAAAAACCATTTTAACCATTTTAAAAATGGTTTACTATCAACTAAAACACAAAATACAAAAAATAACAGTTTAACAGTCACTATATAAAATGACACATTCAATTTTAAAGGTGAAAGAAAAAAAAGAATAGAATTTAAACCATATTTACCTTATTGACACAGAAAAGGCAGTATCAATGAAAAGGTAGATCTTTAAAAGGTACCTAAAAGATGCCATTGTGGGTACCTCACAAATTTCAGGAAGGAGAGCATTTCAGAATGAAGCTTTCACCAGTGGGAAAGCCCACCAAATGCCATTGTGGGTACCTCACAAATTTCAGGAAGGAGAGCATTTCAGAATGAAGCTTTCACCAGTGGGAAAGCCCACCAATGAGTAATTCCAAGTTAGTGTCTGCAGTTCTTAGCAGATTTAAGAGTACTTCCCTGGATAATCTTAGCAACTGATTTTGTCTGTAACACTGAAGGTTAACACATTGTGCCTAAACCCCCAATGATTGCATCTCCAAAGATGGCAGAAATGTGCACATGGGATGAATTGCAAATTCACAGACAGCTTATTTATTTATTTTTGCACAGGGCTGGGTATATGCATGTATTGGCAAAACACAATCTCTACAAAGCGATATGAGTCAAATCAGCATCATCAGAAGGCTTCATATGTTCTCAGTGTGCCTCTGCACTGCAAAAAGGAAGAAGCTGTTAATGTGAAAAAAATGCTGCTTTCAGTTCTTCACTGAGCATTGGGATTAAACATGGGAAAGGGAGAGGAGTAGAGATGAGTGACTAAAAGTTTACCTTTAAATCAAAAAGAATAATTCAGTACAAGCTGTCCAATCAT